TGCTTGTCTGCAAGGTAAAATTCGGGTTGAAAACCCAAAGTCCAAAGAAACTTTCCTAATCAAACCTATTCCCTCCAAAGAGGGAAAGCGATAGTGATGTCTGGTATCAAGGAAGAGTTCTGAGCACATAGAGGTGAATTCAGAAGATGTGCGTCTCTGGGCCAAAAAGCAGCTCTTTTTAGTAAACGGTGCACCAATTGCTGCCATCGCTCGGCATCAGTCCTCCAGTAATAAGCAAAATAAGGTCAACAAACCACCAAATCCCAAGTCCACCAAGTGTTAACAGCTTCCCTACTGCTGTGCCAGTGTGTCCCAGACAGAAACGATCCACTCCAAAGCACCCCAGGAAGAAAGAGTAGAGCAAAGTGGTTATGAAGTAGTGTCCAGTATACCTAGACAAAAGGAATCGAAAGGAAGAGGTTTATCACACTTCATGATTAATGAACTGAACGTACGTGACAAGGTGGTGGTGCAGCAGCCTTCTGTGGCCTCCTACTCCCCCAACCCCACCAAAACATATCTCTAGATGGTCCAGGGTCTCAGAAGAGCACTATCTGAAACATGGAGGCCTCATCGGAACAAATATGGAGTTGGATTGGACAAGGAACTACCAAGCCAACTGTACAATAGGCCTCCTGGTGGGAGGGGAGTCTGGGCCTCCCGCCTTCCCCACAACAAGCCCCATTCCTGAGGCTGCAGCTCTGAATGTAGTTCTCCAAGGGATAAATGAACACTTATTTCCGTATACCTTTCCTATTGTTGCCTGGCAACTAAAAGGGGCCTGTTCATAAGGTTCTCCATACTGAGGGCACTCATTCGCAGTTGCTCTAATATCACTAAACAGACGCTCTCCATTAGCAAGAGGTAGAAGTTCTGTGCTTTCAAGCTGAATTTGCAGAAATAATACTAATTCTTTAAAATAAATTGATTTTCACAGAGAGAGGCCCACAATTTTCATAAAACCTTTATGCCTAAAATAATCAGGCTATTTTCAGGTATCTGTGCCCTCATTTTGTAGATGAAGGGTTGGAGACTCTGGGCCCAAAGGCACTTGGCTAGTTGGTGAGAGAGACATTTAGAACATCTGGCCTTGGGTCTCAAGTCCAGTGTCCTTTCTGTTAGAACCATACTGTCCCATCCATGGATTATACACAGTAGTAATCATGTTGCTCTTTTTTAACACTTTAGGGAAAAGAAAAAGTCACATCAAGAGATGACAAGGGAAATAGCTCTGCTTCCACCCATGTAGCACTTCTCCATTCCAAGTCACACTTACTTAATACAAGGTTTATTGTCTCGTAGGAAGGTCCTGGGACTGGCACATTCAATTCCATCCAGGGCCCGGCACTGGACTGAAGTGTGTTCCACATCACTGTAGGCCTGACCCCCGAACTGTAGCGTAACAACCAAAACAAAACAAAGCACAAAACCAAACTCAATAAGCAGGTGCAGGCACACTGCAGGGGGATGGCAGGTTTGGTTCCAGACCCCCACAATAAGGTATCACAATAAAGCAAGCCAAATGAATTTTCTGGTTTTCCAGTGCACATAAAAGTTATGTTTACACTATACTGTAGTGTATTAAGTGTGCAATAGCATTATGTCTATGACAGCAGTGTACATACCTTAATCAAAAAATTCTTTACTGCTAAAAAATGTTAACGTCATCTGAGCTTTCAGTGAGTTACATTCCCTGATCACGGATCACCAGAGCAAATAGAATAAGGATGAAAAAGCTGGAGAGATTGTGAGAATTACCAAAAGGTGACAGAGACACAAAGTGAGCAGATGCTGTTGGAGAAATTCTTGCTGTTGGAGAAATAGCGCCAATACTGGCTCCACACGGGGCTGCCACAAACCTTTAGTTTGTTAAAAACAGTATCTGCAAAGCACAATAAAGCCAAGTGCAATAAAACAAAGTATTCTTGCAACACAAAATGTATCTTCATATTCATAGAAGTTGACTCAGGACTATGATTCTAACAAAGTTGGGATAAAGTTGTGTTCAAGAGAAAGAAATTTAGTGACATCCTTCAAGTGATTTTAAATTAGTCCATCTTAAATGTACATTGTTTAAACTGTTTTTACCTTCTTTATGACTGGCTTCTTTAATAATCTAAAAAAGTAGGTAACAAGTTTTATGAAATGCCATTTAGGATAGATGGACACAATGCCTTGGTTATCCATACTTAAAAGAAAAAGAGCACATTGCTGAATATTTGAAAATGGGCATTTAAAAAGTCAATGTTTATTAGAGGTTTGTTTTATATATATTATAAATGTGCATAGTTAGGAAGGAACTCTCTGACTCAGGACTTTATTTAGGTCATGAATGTATTTATCATATCAATAGTACATTTAGAGTATAAATTTAAATTCCAGCAAACAAATTCAGAACAGGACCGCTTACTCTGAGTAACTGAATTCCAGCAGAGAAAGCACAGCTGTACATTCTCTACTAGCACCTCATTAAGTACTTCACAACTATTTTCTTTGGAGCATTCCTCAAAGGGAACAGAGTGGGAAATAAGGATGCTTACTGCTGTGCCTCCCCCAGGACTCAGAAGCCTGAGTACTGCCAGTCCTCTAGGACTTGTACGGGAAGTGACCATTTCAGTACCTTGATACGATCAACCCAGTTTTTATTTAATTAAATTGGGCAAAAGTAAGAGACCTCTATACAAGGCTAACTCAAACCTTCATCAATAATTATCAATAGAACAAAATCTCACTATGTTGAAAATATTTCTTTACACATGATGGCAGTTAAGAGTTGCCTTTTTGGTCTTACTACTTTCAGGTTTGTTCCTCTGTCTTATTTAGTACAAAGAATGTTTTCCTTTAATTCTCTTACACCTGACTGAGTCTTGACTTATATTACACAGCCTGAAATACCATAATGGTGAGTCCATGATGGGGAGGAGGCACATGAACTTCAGTGGTTTTTGGTAGACTGACTAGGAAGGGTGCACTCAGCTTAAGGGACTTTATTAATTACAAAATATTATTAATTCTTTCCATTCCAAGAGACCATTGTTACTAAAGGCTTCTCCTTGAACACTATAACCTCCTACAAAGACTATACTATAGACCCTATCTGTTTCCTAAAGACATGGTGGAACTGCTTGCCTGGTGAAAGTAAGGCCATTGGCAAGAGGAGCTTTGCCCCAAATGCATGTGTAACAAAGATGCAGTGTTCAATCTGCCACCAATTATAGAAAGTGCATAAGCCTTTCTTTTGCTCTTTTAGGAATATGCATGCTTGAATGATAATCCGAGGTGACACTTTAGCTTCAAATCTGCCATTCTCAATGGCTGAAAGAACCACAGGGAGGTTGGTCTTTGTATCCGGGTAGTTGTGGTACAGAGCGCTTCTTCCTGAGGACACTAAATGTCTCGTTCAGGCCACTGACCCTGGCCAGGATGAAAATTTCCAGTAAATTGTTCTAATGAAGTCTGCCAAAAGGTAACTTCACATCCCTTATACTTAAACAGCATTTAGCCAGTATACTATTTCTCTATGGAGGAGTTCGTGTATGAAACAAAAACTTACCTTGAGACAACCATAACCGAGTTCCTGGGATGCTGTTGCATTTCCAACATGATCCACTGGGTCTTCACAGTCTATAAATTCATCAGGTCTGTAAGTCACCAGTAAGATCATGTTCATATATATATATACATATATCTTTTTATGCAAATGGCTGTTCACATGTATATAATCAAAACAGGCAGCCATTTCTTCAAGTTTTTGAGGGTTTAATTCCATTCTGACTCTTCCACAAGACAAGAGATGGTGTCAGGTGGAATGAAGCACAGCAGGTCAAATCGCCATGCCCCTTTTTTTGGGGAAGGGGTGTGTTTCTGGTCCTATTTCTACATGGGCTCTACTTGTGCCACGGCTTCATCTTTTCCCTAGGCAAACACAGCCACAAGGCTTTGGGGGCATGAATGAAGCCAAAGGATTCCCAGTTTGCTGTGCATTTCCCAAAACGCCTTTTCTGATGTGACTAAATAAAGACATACTACAAAATGGCCAGGTTCTGCATCGGTAAGGATATTGCTTTTTACAGGAAGTGCCTTGTAGGCAGGGACAGTAATTTGTGCCTCACTAGGTACCAGCGCCTCGGATGGACTAGGAGGCACAACCTCATACCCTTTTTCCGGAGGCTTATATGATGTCATTGCTCCCTAGTTCTCCCCTTTTGGGGTCCCAAAGGACCTGCCACAGACACACAAGGCTTTCCCCGCATGGGTGAGAGGAGTGGGACACCTGTCGTGGTATTTTCCTCCCGCGTGTTGACTATCGGGTCCTTACGTAAGGATATCCCTTCCGTATATCCCTAGCCCATCTCCACCTCCACCCGCCTCGACCACTGGGCAGCTTACAGGTAAGAGCAAAGGATGATCGGAGAGTGGGGGTCGCCATATTCCCAGCTCGGAGCGCCCGCGGAGCCCTCTAGGTGGGCGGCGCCAGCGGATGTGAACTCGGGCTCGGCCGTAGCGTTGTGCGAGTGGCTCCGAGAGACACAGTGCAGGAGCAGTAGGTTCCCTAACAGCAGAGCCGCCTGGCCGCACAGGAGTAAGTAACTCACCGGGCAACCACCCAGTACCATCTTCCCGGGCCCAGGGACGACACCGGCCTTAATCGCAAACCCCGGCAGGCACCGCAGCCCAGCGCTGCCGGATAAGGCCTCTCCGTATATCCCCGCCCCTCCCCGCCAAACGGCTAATGGACGCGTAGTTCGACGCTCCGCCCAACTCACTCTAACCAATCATAAAAGTCTTCGCAGAGGGGCGGGGATTGCGCCTCCTGCCTCTTAATTCTTCTTCTGGGTCTCACATTCCGCTCCTCCGACTGCGAGACCTTCCTCCAATCAGTTCCTGCGATCCCCAAAGTGGGCGGGCCTGGGAGGCGAGGGGGCGGGGAGATCAGAGAATGGGCGGGGCAGGTTGTGCTGTTCACGCCGCTCGGCGGAAATCCCTCTCTCCCGCCGGCGACTGGTGTTCCCTACGTCAGCGCAGCGAGCGCGATGTCGGGAGCGAGCTCGGACCGCCGAGTTGCGTCAGTGCCGAGCGCGTGTTCGCCCCGGGCGCGCGCGTCCCTTCCAGCTCTGGGGCCCCGGCAGGGTTGGGAAGTGATGGAGCGGGCGGAGGCAGAGGCGACCGCGTCCTGAGAGGAACCTGCGGAAGCTGCCGAGATGGGATCGGGCGCGGGCTCGCGCTTAGGGGCCCTCCTCTTCCAGTGGCTGCTGCTGTTTGGCTTGGTGGGCCCGGTCCTCGGCGGGGCTCGGTCAGGTGGGTATCCGCCGCCCAGGGACCTTGGGGATTCCTTTGCTACGGCTGGGATGCTCGGAGGTCTCTGGTGGCTCCTGGGAGCGGAGGCGCTTGGCCTGGGGACCCGGCTTGGCGTCGGGAGGCGGAGCCGCTCCTGCCGTGTGTGGACAGTGCTCAGACCCGGGGCTAGGGTCTGGCACCCCGAGCCCTGCTGGGCAGGGTGCTCCCGTCTGGTTCCTCTTCCTCCGTCTCCTGCTCCGCAGAGCCTCGTGCGGGGCGCCCCACCCCCACCTCGCGCCCAGCTGGGTCCCCCAGGCTCTGGGGACTCCTCTGGGTGGGACCCTGGTCTCGGGGAGTCGGCTGGGTGCGCGCCGAGGGTGTGTTCCTGTTCAGCTGCTTTGAGAAATGGAGCTTGGTCTCGCTTGTAGAGTTGAATGTCAGTGGGAAACACCAGGAGGTGGAACTTTTGCTCCAGGTTATCATAATTTGAAATTTTGATTTTCATTTTAATAGCGGAGTCACTCGTAGGTCCACCGACCTAAGTTTAGTGATGGAACGAAGGAGGGGGGTTTGCTCATTTTTCTTGGGCTATTTTGTTGTTAGTAAAAATATGTCTTTTTGGAAACGAAGTGTTACGTTTCTATAGCCAGAGTCTTTCATCTGCATTTTTTTGCTGGGTTTGTAATGCCTGAAGTCCGGACAAATAATCCTTTCGCTGCTTAACCCAGAGGATTATCATACGAATTCAACCATTTACATGGAGTCACTTTTCAATTGTGAAACTTACCTTGAATATGTAAGGTGTTTATGTAGAAGATGCCCAAACATAGTGGAAACCAATTGCCGACAATCTAGCGTCTTTCCAGAACCAACTTCTTTATTTATTTTGGCCTGTATTAAATTATTATTTGCGTGGCTGTATTTTCTTTATCAGCCACAAAGTATGAAGGAGAGTGTAGGTTTTACCAAATCCCGGCCCTGAGAGTTGTTCTAAGGTGATGGTGGAAGATTTCAGTGAGGGACTGCTGACCTTCCGGAAACTACAATTTTTTCTTATCTTTGGCTTATTCTTTTTCAAATAAGGTTTGAAATTCCCACTATGGGAATTTGGAAGCTCTAAACACTGAAACCTTGTTGAACGGGAGGCTGTTTCCGGGGCAGCTGTGTCTGGGGAGGTCTGTCTCTACTCAGGAGGTGAAACCTCAACCTGGATAGGGAACAGTTCTTGACGCTGATGGAGAAAGAATTCTCAAGAGGTCGGAGGAGCAGAGATAAGGAAGGAATTCATTAAAGTGAGAGTGGTAGTGAATGGCAACAGAAAAGCAGGCAGGCAGCTGAGAGCAAGGAAGAGCAAAGGGAGGAAAGGGAAGCTCACCGAACTCAGCTTAGGGCAAATCCCTTGTCAACTACTGAAGCCAGGGTCCCCCTGGCATCTGATGTCTGCCTCAATCTGCACGGTGTAGGAACTAAGCCCCTACCACCCCAGGATTGGGGGGAGCCACAGAGCACTGGATGTAGTGAGATTATGTTCTGAGAACTTCCGAAAGGCAAAGAAAGGAGATTTTTGGGCAGGCTACTAAAGACCATGGTCTTACAGCTGCAGTTCCGTCTGGGTCACCCAGGCAATGGGAACTTGCAAGCCCAAATCAGAGATCTTAGTAGCCCTTCCCTCCTTTTCTGAAGTAGAACAGAGAGAGTGTGAAGACTTGTGCTTAAGTCTAGAAAACAGAATGAAATAGCAAAGTAACAAGATGCTTACCAGGGGAAAAGGTCTCTTATTAACTTCCCAAAAAGTTTATGAGTGCAGAGACAGAACACAGTAAGTCCAGCAGCAAGAAGTCTTTAAGGCAAAGTACCACCTGAAGAAAAGAGAGTGTGGGAAACCTCAGAGAGGAGGGGCACTAAAGGTTTGGATTCTGTTCAGGCTTTCAGGGATGGGGTAAAAGGCCAGGGGGAGCAGAGGCTTGACTTGTGGCCTTATCATGTCTGTCTCCAGTGAGAGACATTATGTCATTATCCAAGTCAGTCCTCTAGATATTCTATAAGATAAACTTAATGCAAGGAATGTATTGATCCTGTTCTTCTCCAAGATAGTGGTTACCCTCAAGCAGTGGGAACATTACTATTTAGGACTGCTTGTCCTGCCTTAAGAAAGGTTGTTGGCTAATTACCATAAAATATGTTAGGAATCTTACCTCTTAACTCCCTGGTTTTTAAAATGGACTCTTAATCTTAAAATGGAGTCCTTCTTATTCTTACTATACTATTTCTATCTTGGCATTTTTCATCATAGGCAGGAAAACTTAATCATCATGCTTGTCCCATGTCCCTGCTCTACCTCAAAATTACCAAGGTTAAGACTGTATTTGCTATAGTATTCTAGATAGTTAACATTTACCAGTATTTAAGGTGAAGTAGATTATACAACTGGTGATATATAATGCGTGTCTACATGTATATGAATATATCTATAAGGCATGTGTAATAGATTATTATACGTCCATAATTCTGTGTTAGCAAGACTACTTTTAATGTTACTGTATGTATTATACCTGCTTATCGATGAATGGAAAATCCTAAGGTTTTCAGCTGCAGCTTTAACAGTTTATGGCCAGTCCCTCATTTAAGCATGTGTATGCCTTCAAAATATAGTCAACAATTATTGAACGCTTATAAGCACCATGCTTAATGCTTATGGAAGGGCAAAGGGTGACCAAATGTGCTAAGTCTATACGAGGAATTTTTGGGAAAGCTTTTATAGAGTAAGTGATGTTTGAGTTGATCTATCTTAAGGAATGTTCCAGTAAAAGGATAGGAGTGCATTCTAAAGAGAAGAGAGTTTTTCAAGAGTAGGGAGCCTTGAAAGGGCTCCAGGCAGTCTACTTGAAAGGCAGACAAGGAAGAAATGTAGGTAGATTGGTACCAGTTGGGAAGAGCCTTTTTTGTCCTGCTAAGGGGTTTGAACTTTACCTTGTAGAACGTTCTTAGAACAAGGCTTTCAAGTAGGTGTGACATATCTAGGTATGCGATTAGGTTAACGGGAAAACAATGGGGGACAACATAGGAGGAAGATACGGGAGGCTGGGAGGGACCAGTTAAGAGGCTTTTGTAATAGCGTGTAGTGAGTCAACTCGTTTCCCCAGGGGACGGTTTTTCCAGAATCAGCGGACTAATTTTTGAAATACAGGATGTTTAAAACATGCTCTGAAACATTTTCTTCCAGTGAAGGAGGGATTTGAGGACTCAGTAAGTACCACCCACACATTAGCTACACTAGGAGTCAAATAGGATTTGGTAGGATTTTTACTACCATTTATAACATTATGTCTATGAGGAAGTGCAGTATAAATTCCAGACAGCTGACACAGTAAACTTAAAAAAAAAAAAAAAAAAGGGACTGACAAAGGTTACTGTATCATTATGAAAAATAAACAGTGAAAATAGGGTTTGATTTTCTCTTTTAAAGTAGTAATTAGGATGCACAGACCTAGAATTTTTTCATTAAGCCTAGCATTCTAAAGGAAGTGAGTTTTAAATCTTACTCCTGGTGAATCATTAAAAAATGAACTATGTGGTAGGATTTAGGGCCATACTAATTTTGTTTTAAGGTGCAACCAAATTATTTGAAGTTGATCTCTTTGTGTTTGTGCCACAGAGGAGAATGTAGTCTTTTAAATGGAAAGATAGTTTGAAAGTTTTGAGTACAATATAAAACATTTATAATTAAAATATGTTCAGAACAAGTTGCTGGATTCCAAGCCAGTTCTCAAAAAATATTTTACCCTGTTTTTTTTTTTTTCCTAAAAATCCTATTTTATAGACTTTTTTATTATAGACTTCCTTGCAAAGATGCCATCTCTGAGTAAGCCGGAGCTTTTTCTTCGAGTATCCACAAACTCAAATATGTAACATTGATAGCCTCATGATTTCTTTCTTTCCCTTTTCTGCCTGGTTTATCTCAGTCTTGGAGAGATCCTCTTTTGAGTCAGTGCTATAGGGCTGCCTCATAAGTAAATCTAGCAATCTTATCTCAGTAATCAACCCCCCCAATACATTGAATGGGTCCAGCATAGTCCCAACTAAAGTTAAATTGCACTTTGAATTGCATAATCTTGTTTCTATGTTGAGAGATTATTGTAGTTTATTTTTCATTTTTGTGACATTATGCTTTCAGACAAAGCATTTTTTCCCCCAGAGTGATCATGTGTGGGTGCTGCTTAAGAATGAGTTAGGGAACCTGAGAAATTCACTGAATTTGACCAGTTTTTAAACATGTGGTTGTTTTTCTCTTTGCTTATATTTATCTTAGCATAAGAATTGGAGTGATTCAGCTTACAATAAGTACAAATGATGCCCTGCTGAACATCTGTCATACTAGAAGTCAAAACCCATTCCAGTACATGGAAATGAAATGCATTTTTCCCTGTGACACATTTTTCTTTTAATGAGAGTTTTTCATGGTTTAACTCATTTGGGGAGGCTCCCTCCCACTCCCCTTTAGTACTTACAGCCCTCATGCAAGTATGACCTGGTCCAGATGAGTGTAATCAGCACATTAGAACTTGGCTGTGAACAGGCTTGCTCGTTTCTGCTGAGGGGAGTGGCTAAGCAGACTGTGGCATAACAATACAGGGACATAGAGCACTGCTGAGACTATGTGTGGCCATGTGCATTCGTGGAAAACTGACATGAATGATGTTAATCATGAAAAATAAAGCTTACTTCAGGTTGTGCCTGATAATCACAATTATGAGATCCGTGTGTGTGTATATATATATATATATATATCAGTAAAGATAAAGATAAGGAGGTAAGAGTAAGCACATTTATTGATCACCTACTGTACCAATTCAGGCACATGTGATAAATAAGATACCATCTTTTGTCTCAAGGAACTTAATTTCCTTGCTAGAGAAACTTAAATTCTCTAAGGCATTAAACGTTGTAAGTGGTTGGTATTATTCCCAAAGGGGCACTTAAGAACAAACAGAAAAGCCTTGTTTCTTTTTAAATGTAAAAAAAATTATAACAAAAAATGTAATGATGTAGGACATAGCAGTGGAAATTATAATTATGTTTGAAGATAGTTATTAATATATGACATATGTCTTTTTGGGATTGACTTTGTGAATGAAATGGAAATACGTGGCCCAAATAACAGTGCTTTATGGATCTAATTACAACAGTTTCCCTTCAAGAAAGAATTTGGCCAACAGCATTACCCTATTCATCCTGTATGTGGAACCCAGGTTTATTTTCTACAGTGAAAGTACCTAAAGGTGGCTATTTGTTTACATAATAGGCAGGAAGAAAAGAAGAAAAAGCTCATGGCTGAGAGTTCATATTTGTTTGCTTTGCCATTAGTAGAATTCTTTTAATTTATTTCCTTCTACTATAGTTACTATTATGAAAAAGACTTTACTTCCTCCAACCACAGTACGTAAAAAGATGGGAGGCATAAGAGGAAGAAAAAAGCGCAACTAGCACCTTTTTCTTTCTTTTACTGAGTTTAAGACAGTTTAAGTTTCATATTTCAGCTCGTATTTTTATTCCCAGGCCATGTTTTCAGTAATGTGATTTTTGACAGTGTATTTACTCTGCAAATTCTAATGTAACAGGTTGTACTCTCTGTAGAGTTGATTGCATTAAGATTTTTATTTTCATTGTAAACTATATCTTTATACCAGTGGTTTTCAATTGGGGGCAATTTTGCCCCCAGAAGGCATCTGGGTGTTATTTTTAGTTGTCACACTGGTGGTTTTGCTGGCAGCTAGTGGGTAGAAGTCAGGGACGCTACAAACATCTACACTGCACAAGACAGCTCCCAGAGCAGAGAATTTTCTGGCTCCAAATATGTGTAGTGCTGAGGTCAAAGCTTTATACAAATAGTGCTAATGTACTTCCTTTATAGTAACATGGGAAACATTATTTTGGTTCCCATGAGAAGGTGCTACTGTTTGGAATTTAAAAAAAGGGCAGGGGGAATTTGGGAAAAAAATCTGCAAGATATGAGCAGAAAAAAAACGAGGTAAAGGAATTCTGAAAAATATAAGAAGAATTTTCATGCAACTATATTATCTATTATTTTGGACGACATAACCAAATATGTACACATCTTACAATGTTTTGGAACTCCTTTTGACACTTATAATGTGGATCCTTGGATTTTAAAACCAGGAAGTCAGTGTCAGAGTGACAGCTCCTGCACACAGGAGTTATTTTTGGGTGCCGTAATTCTGAAAGTCTTAAAAAGAAATGGTTAATTGTGGCTTTGAAAAAAAAAGCAAGAATTGTGCTTCAAAGTGGTAAGAAGGGAAAGAATGTTGTATCTTATATTCCCATATTAATTTTTATTCTTTGCTAACAATCTGGGTAAAAGATCCATAGTTTCAGTCCTGGCCTGAAACCAGCTGTGTGATACTATGAAGTCACTTAACCTGCTTCAAAACAAAAGCTCTTTAAATATTTGCCTGCCCATTTGCAGCTCACTTTTCTGAGCCATTTACTTTGCTCTGTGATGTTTGCTTCTGAGTTGGGATGAAAATTTAGTTTAGCTGCAGGTTGTTTAGCTTCTAGTGTAACAGTTGCCTGAGTTTATTAGCATATATATCCTTGCCTGTAATGATTTACTTATTATTTTGAATTATAATGATTATAGGAATGATTTACTTATTAACTTTTTATTTTGAAATAATTAAGTCACAAGGAGTTGCAAAAGTAGAGGATAATTGACTTTCGGTCACACAGAGCTTCTGATCTGTTACCTACTGAACGCGTTTTATTTCTGCCACCACTTCTAAGTAGTTGAACAGATTATCATGATCCAGAATGGAATTATTAAGGATAATGTTTAAACTTGTGTTTTTAGAAATTTGGGGAAACAGAAGGGCATTGAAAAGTTTATTCTGGGTGAGGAAATCGTCCTCATTTCATTTAGAATTAAGATTTAGTTAGATTTTAAAGATTTAGATATGGATACTTAATTAAGAATTGAGGATACTTTAGAATTTAGAACTAAGGTATTTCTAACTAGTGCTTTGAAACTTGCATCTGTTAAGGCCGTGGATTCCTTTTGACATGGTTCCCAATTGAAACTCCCAGCTGAAAACTCCAAATACCTGAATGATTTGTCATAGTATGTCATAAATACGCCTTGGATCAGCCCATCCCATGGTTGCGTTTGTATTGGAGTCCATTTCTGGTGTTTTTATGTAATGGCTTGAAGCCACCGTTAGGCAATAGAAGATGCCATATTGTGAGATGTAAGCGGTTGATGGATGGGGTTTGGAAACTGTTAGTGTGACATGTATCCAGGATGTGGATGTGGTACAATTTATGTTTTCCTGTTTACTTTGTATCTTTCGGAATCCCAAACTAGACAAGGTTATAGACATTTTATATGCAGTGTTGTCTTGAGCAAAGTTAGCTGTAAATACTTCATTTTAAACTGTATTTGAGAAATCTGAGGATCACACAATTAACAAATTAATGAACGTATAGATTGGATCCAAAGGAAGAGAGTGTGAAAGTAGGGAGACCAAGTAAGACTAGTTTATAAAGCTGACAGGGAGGAGCTGTTGAGAAATGCTAGCTTTTCAGTACTTTAAATCGTTCATGCGTTCTTATCAAAGAAATATTCTCTTTTTTACCACTTTTAATGTCGAAAGTAATATAGGGGTTACAAAGTGCATACTCTATAAAAACAAATTCAAACAATACATACATACAGGAGTGCAGGAAATAAAGTCCAAATTCTTATGTCATTACCATCTGATTCTATTCCATCATGGCCACTACTTTAAGCAAGTTTGGTACATTTACTTGTGATATTTACATGTTTATTAATAACACATTTTATCGTCTCATTTATGTTAGTGATAGCATTGTAATATTTCATAGAAGCTATAATACAGAGTTGTGAAAGTAACTGAAAAGTCTCACTCGTCATCTCACTTAAAAAATAATTATTTTATTGCAGAAAATTTTTATTTTTAATTTTTTAATTTTTAATTTTGGTATCATTAATCTACAATTACATGAAGAACATTATGTTTACTAGGCTCCCCCCTTCACCAAGTCCCCCCCACATACCCCTTCACAGTCACTGTCCATGTGCCTAGTAAGATGCTGTAAAATCACTACTTGTCTTCTCTGTGTTGCACAGCCCTCCCTGTGCCCCCATGCACTATACATGCTAATCGTAATGCCCTCTTTCTTTTTCCCCACCCTTATGCCTCCCTTCCCACCCATCCTCCCCAGTCCCTTTCCCTTTGGTAACTGTTAGTCCATTCTTGGGTTCTGTGATTCCGCTGCTGTTCTGTTCCTTCAGTTTTCCTTTGTTCTTATACTCCACATATGAGTGAAATCATTTGGTACTTGTCTTTCTCCACCTGGCTTATTTCACTGAGCATAATACCCTCTAGCTCCATCTATTGCAGAAAATTTTAAACATACAAGTAATGAATTCTTGTGTACGTGTTACCCAGTTTTAATATTATTTCATGTTTCTCCTCCCTCAAATACACTTAGGATTATTTTGATGCAAGTACAATATTGTATCATTTTTGCCCTTTAATATTCAAAATCAATCTCTAAGACATAAGGACTTAAAAAAACTTTATCTACATGTTTATTATACTTAAAAATTAATATAATTCCTCAAGATAATCAAATAGCTATGCAATGTTAAAATTTCCCTGCTTGTTTCAGAATTTGTTTTTTCCCGTGTATTTATTTGAATTAGGATCCAAACAGGTCCATGCATTTATAAGGCTCTTTTAATTTATGAAAGTTCCCTCCTTCCCCTTTCCATGGCATTTATTTGTTGAAGCAATCCCACTTAATTTATTTCCATATTGATCCACTAAGTGGAAGATGTGACTTAGTTCTTCCCTGTCTTTCTGTTTGTGTATGCTAATCTTAACCCTTCTCATACTGAATGTGGTTTTGATATATAGAGATAGACATTTTTCATCCATGGTCCTTAGTATGGTGACCATCTAATTGATCAAGTTCACTGAAAAAATTGACATGCCATCAACAGCGAGGCTAGAAGAGGAGTATTGGATGTCTTGACAGACTCTATTAGACCCCACCATGGGATGTCTTCCCAAGGGACTGGTGAGGACAGGTTTGATTTTACTCAATTTTTGCTCAAGTGATGACGCTAGAACCTGAGCCCCACTTGGATATGATTCCACTGTGGAATTGGAGTAAGTCTGCCTGATTTGAGTTAGTTCTTCACTGTTAATAAATTCCACTTGAAGTTTTTGTTTTTAGATTAATGGTAGAATTTCATTTGAGATAATTGTTGCCTCTTGAGTATATGTATATTTGAGTGAACCCTTCAGGTATTAAAAGTAACTTCTCCCTCTTACTGCCCTTGTCCATTTTGTGATGTCTCAATACCACCTCAGGAGTGCCATTCATGTTGGGTGAGGGGGGCAGTGGGAGATGAGTGAGTGGTATTGGGCTCCAGATGCCTTCCCCCTACTTCCCCACATAGGTTTTTTTTTTTTCCTCTTGTGTTTATACCTTAAGATTTCTTATAAGTAAAAGGGTTAGGGTTTTAGCTAACCTAACCTATTTAGGTAATAGCTAAAAATTGCCTGCAAAGGATTACTGTGTTTAGTGTATATACTGTTTAGATAAGATTGACATCCTTTTTAGGAAATATCTTTTTTCCTCTTACTTATCTAGTATATTGCTATTTTCATGTAAAACTATATACATATATAGTAATATGGAAATGTCACCTGATTTTTCTGTGACTTGAGTGTTCAGCTTTTCATTTCCATTATTTTTGGTATCATTTAGTTTTTCACGTCAACTTGTTACATGATGTTTGTTATTCTCTTTATTGTAGGCTTACAGCAAACCTCACATCTCTCTTCTTATGAAATTATAACTCCTTGGAGATTGACTAGAGAACGACGAGAAGCCCCTAGGCCCCATTCAAATCAGGTATGTTATCTCTTAACAGCTATGTGTGTATTTAAACTTCACTTTGTTTTTTTAGACAAGGGTGTTATTTCCTTGGTTCAATGAGTGATTGTCAGCCAGTGATTAGAACACAACCATACATATCTCACTAATGTTCTTTGGACATTATTCTAGCAAAAGTGACATATTCATCCTTAATGTCTTTTCTTTTTATGATAAAATGGTTAACTTGAAACATAACAGAATCAAGTAGTTGGTTCAGCAAAATTCTTTGTCCAGGGTAGGATGCTGACTATGTAGATTTCTAACTGCTAACTGACTGGTGGTGGTTACAGGGGCCTTGTTTGTGGTGGGAGAACATTTTATACTATATCTTATGGACTCTGGAGAATAGTGTGGTACACGCATATATTTCATATCTGGGAAGGTTTACTGAAAAGTGGTTTATCTCTATACCAAAAGAAATAGTACTGTGCTGTTAACAGAGTAACTAATGCACAAAAATTATTTTTTTATACTGTTTCTCTTACCATTAAGTTCAGAAATATTTTGGACATCAACTGATTTTGCAAACTCTTCAACTTTATAGAAATTTAATCTAGCTATTACACTTAATCAGTAACAGATAATGAAGAATAGGGTTTAGCTTATTAACTCAGAATTGCCTTTTTTTTCCCCATAAATACAAGGCAGTTTGTCCATTGTCTAGGGACTGGGTCTAGTAAAAAGAACACTGGCCTTTAGAGTTCGGAGCTGTTAGTTTTAGCCCTCCCTCTGGGTGCTACCATGAATTAGGTAGGTCATTCAACTCCGTTTACTTGTAAGTGAGGAATAAATGAGTCCAAGGTCTCCTTCCAGTGAACAATTTATAATTCTTCATCGTTTTTATTTTGAACTAGATATTCTACCATTTGATCATGTTGTGCCTTAGAATAGAGTTAATTTGTCTTACTTTCTTATTTTCTTCTTTGCTTCGCCTTTTAGCACAGGGACTGTGTTGTCCACTATTGAGTCTCTAGTCATCTCTAATCTTCATCAGTACAGCACACATAGATACTTGTGATCTAATAAGTGCCATTTGTGTGCCTCCATAACTATTTGGGAGGCACTGGGGATACGGCAGTGAACTGAACAGGCGAGAATCCTTGCCTTTATGGTGCTTCCTTTCTCATTGGGACGGGGAGGAAACAAGCAAATAAGTAATGTTCATTTATAATCTAGATTACTTAAGATGGTAGTAAGTGCTTTGGAGGAAATTGGGGTAGGGGTGGGGCAGCGGTGTTTGTATTTCTTAGTAGGACAGCCTGGGAAGGCCTTACTGAGAAGGTGACCCTTGAGTAAAGACCAGAAGGAGGGGGATGAGCAACACAGGCAGATACTTGGGAGGGGAATTTAGTGTCATGTAACAATTCTCAGACTCAGAATTCTCCTTGGAGGAGATGATGGAGGTGTTTTTACATCATTTGGCCAACAGCCGAAGGATAGAAAGGCACATGCCGACTCTGAGATGCTGGAGGGAGCTGGTATTTCTGATGACTCAGTGGAGATTGATGGAAAACACAGAGAGTTCTCAGGCTTCCCTGCAGGGTGTGGAAGTAGAATACCAGGGTCTGGAACTCGGTCTGGGCCTCAAAAGGCAGGTGCTGTGTTCCCAGAGAGGGGAGTGCTGTTTCTTGGCGACGTGTTAAGTTAGAGTCCAGGAACAGTAGGGGAAATAAGAGGGCACTTCTGATGGTACTATTAGTTGAGTGCCTCCATGACTTTCTCTTTTGTTAAAGAGTTAAAAAAGTTGAATATCCTGGTTCTAGTGACCACATTAAACGCTTCTGACCAATAACATGGTGAGTTGCTGGGAAAGTCATTTCAGAGTTGTTTTAAGTAGAGAAGAGGACCCTGAACTTGAAGATGTGTATGTGCAAGTTACTGTATCTCAATTCCTTGGTCCGATGTGCCATCGTTGTAAAGCACAGTATTATTTAATATAGTGTTAATTAAGAAATAAACAGTGCTACCAGTTAGACTACTGTGCTTTTGTGTGGCCTATTCTGATGCCAGAGGTGTCCATGGGAGGGGAAAAAAGGGTGTTTTAGAATTGATGAAATGTGGTAAGCTGTATGAAGATAAAAACTCATAAAAATGTGTGAATTTCTTTTCAACTTTGGATAACCAGAACTCTTGAAACCAGGATGTTTATTACATTTAAACAAGAGGAAGAACTACTTTATAGTGTAGGTAATACATGGGTGGACTTAGGAAAAATAATCCCTAAAGTTATAGCTGAATTTAAGAAGAGTTTAGGTAAACATCCAGGGGACTTCCCATAATAGGAATCATCAGAGTATACACTCTTATTATTTAAGAATTGATATGGGGTTCTTCTGTAAAAGAAATTCAGTCAGTAGGAAATTATTTTAAATCAAGATGTGATTTCTAGTGTCTTATAAATACCTGTTGTTGAAAAGTAATTTATAAGATGGCCTTTTATTGTTTTCTCCTCTGTGCATTTAGGTATCTTATATCATTGAAGCTGAAGGAAAAGAGCATATTATTCACTTGGAAAAGAACAAGTAAGAAATTTAATTTACCTTGGCTTTTCAGTAATAAAAAAAATAGTATATTGCTTTCTTTTCTAGTTAGATATTATTTAGTAGCTTGATAAAAAGATGAGAATACTAAGGGTAGAAGTTGGGAAAAAGCCATACTGTTTTGCTTTTCCATTGATGTTAGAGCAAGGGAAAATAAATAAGGAAAAAGTTGTATTTCACAAGAAAATTTTTTAATTGTGATCAGCTCTAGGAACTGAGCAGTGAGTGGTAAAGAAGTGTTTAGGGATTGTATCAGTCTACCAGAGCTGCCATAACAAATACTACAGACTGAAATAACCAGAGCTCATCTTCTCACAGTTCTGGAGGCTGGAAGTCCAAGATCGAGGTGCCAGCAGGGGTGGTGTCTGGGGGCTCCCCCCTTGGGTTGTAGGAGGCAATTTGCCCATGTCCCCTCCATGCTGTGTGTGAGTGGGGTGAGGACCCGGGGGAGGAGCAAGCTCTTGGTGTCCTTTCTTATGAGGACACTAATCCTGTTGGCTCAGGGCCTCACCTTTATGACCTTATTCAATCATAATTACTTCCTTGGTGGCCCATCTCCAAATGCAGCCACACTGGGGTTTGGTCTCAAAAATATAAATTTTTTTTGGGGGGGAGATACAAATACCCAATCCGTAAGAAGTAGTCTCTCACACCCCCTTTTAATCTCTTCTCCTCATTTTGCTGTGTTCCTTGTATGCCTTTTTGAAATGCCGAGTTTGGATTGTACTGAGCCACCCGCTTTCCTGGGGCCCATCCTGTCCCCCTTTTCCCTTTTTTTTATGTCCCATATCTTTAGTGAGGTGTGTTGATGCGATGTTAGCTGTTGCTGTCTGAGGAAGTGGGCAGCTCGATGTAGTCCTCAAACCACCCCCAGCAGCACCTTCAGGTTTGCTAAAATGCAGATTCTCAGGTCCAGCCTAGGATGAATCAGAGTTTCGGGAGGTGTCATAGCAGCCTGTGTTTTCACAAGCTTTCCAGGCGATTTTTGTGTATCCTCAAGTTTGAATAACATTTTTTAATCTAGAAAAGAGGTTATTGACCCAAAGGGTTTGAGTCTCCCTGGCAGAATTCCAGGCAGTATGACAGGTATTTTCAGAGAGAACAGCTTTCTGAAGGCTTTCTACTGTATATGATGGAAGTTCATGTTCATTGAACATTTTCTGTGTTCCAGGCACTGTACCAGGTACTTTTAAGTATGTTATTGATTCAGTTCTCACAAAACTCCTAAGAGATCCTGCTTGACTCCAATGTAATTGGACCTCAATATGTAAAAGATATCTAATGGGTCTAAATATTTTCCCCACTATTCCTTTCTATGGGAGATGTAAAGTCATTAGTTATTTTGATACAACTGCATAGTTTTCATCTTAATGAAAACTTATTTTCATAATCTGTCTCATTTATCATATTGTCCAAACAGCTTCACTGTAGGCGGTGTTTATTGTCTTCACTTTGTTTATGAAATTCCGGAGGTTCAGGAAGGTTAGTGGACTTGCTGGGTAACAGGTAGCTTGTAAGTTTCCCATTTGGGACACAAGTCCAGGACATTTGATCTGACTTGTGGTGGTCTGTGTGTATCTGCCATGCCTGCTCTCCAAGCCTATGCTCTTTTAATTGGTAGGCAAATGGCACTTGTCCAGGCATTCATAAGAGTGATCAGGCCTTTGGATGTCTTTGAGAGGTGGTCTTCAAAGCTTGAGGTCACTAATGGAAAAAGGTTAGGGCAGATACCTGTAAGAAAATGACTCAGATACTCTTTCTTAGTAATGGGGAAATTATGAAGTTCAATAAAGGAGTGAGTATATTTGAGTAAATGCTTATTTTTCTCTCCCAATGCTTCTAGAATAGTGGTTTTAACCTTCTTTTGGTCATGAACCAAAGGGCTGGGCTAGAGGATTTAGTTTAGAATGAGAACTTGATGGACCTTCAAAGCCTGACTCCCAAGATCAGGCAGATTCGGCCATTCATGTGAATGCTACACTGACACAGGCATGCTTCTGGAGAAGCTGAGTGGAATTGGTGCTCCCTGGGCAGGTGGCCCAGCAAAGCCATATATCCAGTTTATTCTTTTCAAATTCAGCCCTAGGGGGACACAGAATGTGTATGTATGTAGTGGAGAGAGGGAGTGACCGGGAGGCAGAACAGAGACCCAAAAGGGTTGGGTAACTGGAAGACTCATGACTGCAGGGCTGCTCCCAAGCTCCCCCAAGTAGCCTTTGGTGAAGGTAGAGGATGCAGTGCATCAGGACAAAGAGAGTGCAAGTGTCATCCAGGGTGTGAAGACCTCCTGGCAGAGCCCCAAGGCCTTTCTTAGTTGCACAGATGTGCTTTGTCTTCAGATTACAAACCACTGGGACATGTGTGAAGCATCCTGTTTTCAGGGGAGCCTAGGCATGGGTTTACAGAAGGGCTGCGGGCATGCAGCCAGAGTCAGGCTGTGTAAGTGAGAAAGCTGCATGTAAACTGTCCATCCATCCATCTCTAAGCAATATAGACAAGCTGGGCCTGGATGCCTCCAGAGGGGCTTAGAGCTTCAAATGGCACATTGTAAATTACTAGCCAGTACATTGCATTCCTGACTTGTCCACGAGCCCTGGAGATAAGCATAGCACTGCTCCAGTTTCTGCAAATGACAAAGGTTCTTTGCTTAACCCAGTGTTAGTCTGGCTCACAAACTTTCTGGGCCTATCAGAGCATGTCCTAGTAAAATCCAGGTTTGGCAAGAACCTGCTGAGAGCCCGCTGCCCTCAGTGTGTGGTCGCTCTGGATGTCTGATCAGGTTCCTCCTCCCCCTAGGTGATGTCTGATCACCCTGCTCTGTCTTCAGTAAGAATCCATTAGGCTGGTTTAGCCTGAACCTCCATCACCCCACATCTTTCCAGTTAGTAATTTTCCATCCAGTAATCCCCAGCCCTGCTTCTTGGCTGTAAGCTCACTTGCCCATGCCGTGCTTGGAGTTGAGACTCATCTCTCTCCCCTGCGTAGAATCCCACTGTAGTGATTCCCGTTCCTGCGGCGGTGGTGCTGCAGAAAGGCTGCCTCACCATCTTAACGCTTACCAAGTGTCATTTCTCTCACGGTCACGGGGCCGTGACTCAGATAGGATCAGATTCAGCACTGGGCCCCCAGACCCCTCACCAGGCCAAGCACGCACACCTTTGAAGCCTTTCTCTTCATTCCTGACTGATGGGGGATCCGTTGGTGAGTCTGGCTCCAGAGCCGTTACTCTAGGCAAACGTCCGGTGAAGCTGGTGAGGATAAATTTTGATTCTTAGGATTTAGAGTCTACTCTCTCAGCCTGGGTGAGAGTCCTTTGGAGAGGCCCCACCTTGGGCTGGAAGGTCTTCCTGGCTCCCTGTTCTGCGTGGGCATGATTGCTTGACTCCCTTGGCCTAGGAAGCTCTTCCTGACTGTGAGATCTCTCTGTTCCCTCTGGTGAATCCTGCTTCCCTCAAGGGAACTTCTCAGTCAACTGAAGCCCCTTTTCTCAAACTCCTGCTGACTTTCTGCTATGCGTGCTTCCTTTCTTGTTGGCATGAGTTTGCTGAGGATAGTTTGGAAGCTCACTGGCCTCTTTGGGACCCTTGGGAGCTCCCCAGATTGAATCCTGCAGGACTCTCCTCCTCATGGCTTCTGCTCTGCTTTCCTCCTTTTTCCACCTTTCACCTTCACTCCAGTTCCTTCCCCCTTAAAGCCCCTGGGTCTTCCATCTCTGTCCACCCATGAGACTTTTCCCTTCCCTCTTCACCCCTCAGCTCCTACAGGCACTTGAATTTTAGAGCCCCTGCCCTCCACTGGGGGCTCTGAAGGGACGCAGGGACAAAGCAACTACCTGAGGCTGAAAATAGAAAAATGAAAGGGCTCTCTGGAAATAGAACTGGGTAATTTGTCCACTCACATGGGCTCTGGAAACATCCGGACAGCAGTTAGATGTCTCTTTAGTCACTTGCCTGAAATTTATTTCATGGCCTCTGTAAGATACATATGATGGCAGAAGTAAATATTAAAGACTCCTCTACAGATATTGGTAGGCAGGTAACCTTAACTTGTTCCATTTGCCAGAAACCCAATTCAGATAAAAATACCAAGTCAGATAAACCAGTAAAATTGTATTACTGTTTTACTGACTCATGGCTAAAATTTTAGAATGAAAGCTATTGTATCCTTGTGTCTGTGTGTTTATGTATGTCTCTACATACGCTATATGTGTAGATATACATATGTTATAGATGTGTGATAGTTTCCTACCTCTGTACTACCAAATTAATTTACAAAATCCCTTAAAGGAATTCTATTAAAATTGGCTCAGAGATAAATGAATACTTATATAAATCAAGTTTTCATAAAACTCTCAGAAATATGAGAACTAATCCAAGTGTGTGTGTTTTTTTTAAAGTTCATGTGATCTGGGATAATATTTGGTAAATAAAGCTGTTGTAAATTTTTGAAAAAATTGCTGATAAACTCTAACAACTTCAGACTTGTCAGCATTAAATATATTATACAAATAAATACTTTCCTATATATGTTTACTTATCAAATAAGCTTGCTATCTTTATATGTTGAAGATTATAAACTATAAATCTGATCTAAGAACAAAGTGCATAATAAGGAATTGCTTGATACATGTCAAGCATGGCAGTTTAAAAATAAAAGGGAAGAATCATACATAACTTTTTAGGTCCTTAGCTTCTATGATTTTTTTTATTTTTAATAATTGCCTTATTTGTCAACAAGAAAAATAAGGTGATAGATGGCTAGCTTTAATTAATGTCTCATGAAATTTTCTTGAGTAATTCAAGCATGATTGTCAATATAAATTAAATAGATGTGTATAGGATACAATTTATAAATAGACTTATCAATGATAATTAAGTTTTAAAATATGTCTCCTTAAGAACAGGTTCAAAAATCTTTTTCATAACTTGATGCCTTAAAGGTATATTAAGTTCATGAAGAATATTCATTGACTAGATAATTTCTAAATAAGAAAAAAAATTTGAAACATTAATTGCTGAACATTAATTTTATTTACTTTTGGCATCTTGTTTTTAAATGCTATAGGGAAGCTAAACATATTTGGGTCTGTTATAAATATGAGAAGTTGTACTATGAAAACACTACATGTTGCTAGAAATATGAAGTGATACATTCGTAAATTGCTATAGAATGATAATGTATGGCAGTTTACAATTGCCTGCTTCCTAGTTTTCACTGAAAATCAGGGTTACTAATTTTAAAAAAATCTAACCAATATATGTAAATGAAACTACTAGGAATAATAAGGGAGAAGTAAGAAAAAAACTATTCAAGGAAAGAAAGATGTACTTTTGATAAGGAAAAGTATGAAGGATGTGTTTTTGTTAAAGGAAAAAGACAGTTTTTGTCCTAAAGTAGAGTGACTATTTGTTTCTGAACAAGAAAGAAGAAAAGAATAGGATAAAAACTGAACAGATACAAGAAAAACTTTAAGAAGATTTGGGGAAGGGAACCTTGAAAAGAGATCTTTCCCTTTGTGGTCAAAGCTGGCTAAGATTGGGTGAATTTATTTGTAAGGTTTTTGTTTTTTTTAAAAATCTGCCCTCGTATTATTAGTAGAGTGATGCAAATCCAGAATTTGGTTTTCTCTCTATTAAAACAACAAAATTTTCTTAGATTATGGATTTGCTCTTAATAAGAAATTGTAAAACAGGTTGTTTTTCTTTACTTTTTAAGTAATCTGCTTGGGAAAACAAGATTTTGTGTTTTAAAATACTTTTCGTGTGTTTCAGGTTGTGTCTCTCAGGGCTTTGATTATTTGAGAAAACCAACTCTTCTCCATATTAAGAGAGCTAAATTTTTTTTTTTTACAACTGTGTAGCTTTCTGTATTTGCCTTTGAAATCTTTTAATTCTGACTCTGGTTAAATAAATAACCAAGTATTGTGTCACAGTGACCTATGGTCCTGTTTAGTCTTGAAGTGGTCACATCCTTCGACATTTTTGACAACTTCCCCAATCAAATTCTCAGTGGAGTCTTTTTGACCTCAAACTAATTTTGAAATTTCCCAGATGGCCCCTGGAACATCTCAAAGGACTTGGCTGTCTCCTTATAAAAAGATGTTGAGCTAATTAGGCTATTTAATATGTTAAATTACATGGGAAGCATTGTCAGATAGTAAGCGATGATACCCCTTGGGTTATATGTGTGTCTTTGGCAGAAATGGGAGTGGGAGTGACTGTAGAGAGAAACTTTCATTCCAGTGGGAAACAACAGTAACCCCTGGCCAGTCCCCTCTCGCACAGTTTGCTGGCCCTTAACAAATCCTGAATTCTTCTGGTTCCCTCCAATATCTGGCTCTTCAAATAAACATTTCCAGTTTTTCTCCCTTTGGATTTGGAAGTCCTGAGAACTAAAACTGCCCTTTTCCTGAAGCTCAGTACGCTCAAGTTGGACAACTTGGGATAAATTTTAAAATATTACCGCATCTGCTTGGGCAAACAAGGTCACGTGTGGGCAACCTTCATGCCTCCCGCCATGTGGACCACTGAGAAGGTCCACCAGAGCACCTGATACCATCATCACAGACATTCAAACTGCAGACCAGGAAACTTTATCAGAGCCAGTGTGCCATCTAAAGATGCTTTGCAGTCAAGTCTGAAAATCTTGACGGCTGCCCACTAGCCTCAGAAACTTTGCCTTTTATTTTCATAGCAACTCCCCTCTTTGAATGCCTGACTGCCAGCACCATCCAGCAAACATCCTTTACTGCCAAGTCCCAGTAGATGATTCAGCTGGTCCTTAATGAGCAAAAGGCGACCAAACGAGACAGTAGACTTAACATTGTTCAGAGGAAAGAAGAATGTGTCTTTTTTCTGTGAATGAGGGGGAGACTGACAGAGACTCTGCTTGAGCCATCTTTAGTCAGGCTCATGAGCCTAGTAGGCTCATTGGTGAACTTCCTAGTAAAATCCAGCCTTAGCAAGAACCTGCTGAGCGCCCCCCACCGAGGACATGTGATCACTCTGTATGTCTGATCAGGTACGCCTTCCCCTGCCCAGGTGATGTCTGACCACGTGGCCTGTCTTCAGCAGGAATCTCTTAGACTTAGGTTTAGCACTAGCTGCCCTCACCCCAGATGGTTTTCCACCCGCTGACCTCGCACCACACCGCCTGCCCCTCAGCTATAGATCCCCACTTGCCCATGTATTTGGAGTTGAGGCTGATTTTTCTTCCCAGTGTAAAATCCTGTTACAGTGGTACCCATACCTGTTGCAATGACCCTGAATAAAGTCTGCCTTACCATCTTTAACAAATGTCACTGGATATTTTTTCTTTAACAAAAATAACCCTGTCTTTAGCCATGTGCTTAACACTGCTGAGCTCTCTTAACAGGCAAGGAAGCTTCAGGAATCAGCAATAATTGTTTCTTCCAACAACTGACAGATTTTGTCTCTGTACTTAGGAGGTTAAGGCTATGAGTGCTTCTTGTTTATATGGGACTTTTAGAAAAGAGAGCACTTCTAGAAATTTGATGTGCTATGTAACCTAATTTATACTTTTCCTATAAGATGTATCAGAAAAATATAAAGACTTTGCTTATGTTAATTTTTTTGCAACCAGCAGTTTTTGACCATTAGAACAAACATGCAGCTTAGCTTTATGAGGAAGTAGCACATGATTCAGAGGCAAGTCCGTTTCTGAGCTTTGAGTTTTACAGTAGCTCCTTTTTTCAGTAGTGATTTACCCAGTGAAACTTTTAATTCCTGCTCATCTCTTCCAGGAATGATGCCTTATGAGTTGTTTTCTTAGTACTGTATAGATAAAATAATTGTAAATGATGTGCTTTATTCCTCTTCCAGAGACCTTCTGCCCAAAGATTTTGTAGTGTATACATACAACACAGAAGGGGCTCTGATCTCTGACCATCCTGATATGCAGGTACTATATTTTCCTCTTGATTCTATAGGAGAATTTAAATTATTATAATGTTAAAATGAGTTCTGTTCAGGTAGTCAGGACTGTTACCTTGCAGAACACTTGACGCTGTGACATGTGGAGTTCTCCTGGGGGTGAGTAGGTGGTGGTGCATTTATGTAGACTAGACTATACCTTCTAGCTCTCCAGGGACTCAGAAGTCAAGTGTTTTTTTTTAAAGACCAGGAAAATAATTTTCTATTTAAATGATAATCCTTGCTGATTATGAAGGGAGAAAGTTTGATGTATTTTGAAAATAGGGTTATTTTTGTTTTTTTGCTGAAAGTTGGTATTTCTGAAAGCACACCTTACTTATTAAATCCTTTGATTTGTTATTAGTACTTAAAAAGAACCAACTCTTGTTTGCTGTTGTAAGTTCTAATTTTTCACTGAAATTAATTCTTTTTTTAAAGAAGTGTGGTCCTCTTTGCATCAGAGCAGACTATTTCTGAGGACAGAACTGGTCAGGAATACTCAATAATTGGCAGATGTCGAATGTGATTTTATGTGTTATCTAAATAGAGCATACACATTTCTGGTGTTACCTGGGAAGAGTGTTTTTCGTCCTGTTAGGCCGTTAGGTATTGTATATTTTTTTCTCTTGCAATAGTTTCCATGAAAAGTCTTTGTTCTCCTTAAACATGTATTGTTTACCCCCTAGCTCTGTGAAGTTTGGTAGGTGGAATTGTTTATGTTAGTTACATAATTTGTAGGACTCATAAAATAAATAGAAGGCAGAACATTTATTTGAGATAAATTATTAGCACTTAAAAAAAATAGGGAAATGCTGACTTAGCCTTATCCTTTCCTGTCTACTTGCTTGTTCGTTTATGTTAGCATTATTTTAATAGCAACGTAGGAGAGAAGCTTAAATGTATGTGATAGCATCAAGCAGATCGCAAATAATCCATGCACCCGAAGATCACTGTGGTGTGAAGACCACAGAATTGGTGCGGCTTGACAAAAGCAGTGATATTAAAAAGGCATTTTTTTTTTTTCATGGAGAGGTTTCTTGGCTTGGGTTCTGGAAACGCACCCCATTTGGGCTTTAATCCTGACTCTGCCATTTTTTTGCTGTTCAGATTACTTGTTTGTACCTAAGTCTCCTCACCTTAAAATGGGAATAATTACAACTTCATGGAGTTCCTGGGAGCCTTAAATGAACTAATACTTGTAAGATACTTAGAATAGGCTTACAGTTTAACATTATTTTTGCTTTTATTGGAAGTGTATATGCTTAACACCACTAAAAATAGAGTTCAGTCATACAGAAATTTATCTGAAATTATCTTAAGTATTAAACAAAAACTGTTATTTTAAAGTATTATTTTGAAATTGTGCTTTCCAAGTGTTTAAAAAATGCAAAGATGGAGTCTTTTCCTTATTTCTTGGTTATTGAATATTGTTCAGATAGATCAAAGTGTGAGTGTAGATTTGAGATACCAATTTAAACTTTGGTACTGGAATTTTTTTTTAATGTATGGCTAACTTGTCAGATATCATAATGACATATATTTTTGTCCATGAAGTGAAATTGTTTCACTGAGAAAATTTAAATGTGTTCCCTTACGATTCTGTTATTTAAGATTAAAGCAATTTCTAAAGCTATTGTCTGACTTTTATCATCAGTGTCTTTCACAAGACCAGTAAGTTTTAATAACCACTTTATACAAGTCGCTGTGTGAAATAAAACTCCAAATGACTATGTCTTAGAACTTTTGGGAACCTTGAAAATACATTAGAAAAACTAACTCCCCCTGTTACTTAATGCTCTTTGTTTCCCCTGAAAAATATTTTGACTGCCCAAGGCTGGCTGGGCTCTGATAGCTGGTAGGCTGGTCTCTAATAGTTCTGTGTACTTCTCTTCCCACTAGTGAGGTTATTTGTTTACAGTTTGTGTGTTTCTGAAAGCGTTTATGTCATTTGTATCTTTATTGTAGTGATTCAACTTAATTGGATGTTTTGCAAACTTGTGAAATATGATTTTCATTTTTTAAAACTAAATTGAAGGCTTTGAAAAGATTTAATAAAACCAAGTTATTAAAAAATGCCATCAAGTTGGTAGGTTAGGTGACTAAGTGCTAGATTTCAATCATGTCAAATATGGGAGCTTCTATTGTAACCGAAAGTAGAAACATTTTATTTTTGAGTGCTATGGCATTGCTATCTCATCAGCATTACCTCATCTGTAATAGTAGAAGGCATTTATTTTCCTTTAGGGAGAGGAAGGCAATATCAAAGATTATACCTATAAAATGCTAGAAAGAAAAACATTAGTGGTTGTGTATTGCTCCATACTAGAAAGAGTTGTAAAATGTTGAAATTCAGCCTAAATTGTTTAGTGTATAATTTTCTTTTTTTAATTTTCACAATTTTAGACTTACAGGAAAATAAAACTTACAGGAAAAGTTGAATAAATAATATAAAAGATTCATGCATCTTCACCCAGATTCTCCAAATGTTAACATTTGACGACATTTGCTTTATCCTTTCCTGTCTTTTTCTGAGCCTTTTAAGAGTATAACGCAGTCCTGGTGTTCCTTTATTTTTAAATACTTCACTGTGAATTTCCTAAAAAACAAAGAATTCTGTTATGTAACCATAGGACAATGCTCAAAATGAGGAAATTAACTCTGAAGCTATTATCTAATTTATAGACCTTACAGATTTTTTTTTTGTCCATCATTCCAAAAATGTACTTTATGGCAAAAGACAATCCAAGTTCATGTGTTAACACTTTATTCATGTTAGTCTCCTTCAGTCTAGAAATCTTACCGTATTTCACAACATTGGCATATTTGTTAAGTACAGCCAGCTCCAGACTGCCGGACATTCTACAAAAACTTCCTCACTGTTTTCACCAGATGCTGGATATTTTTCCCTTGGCATCATTAGCCCATTGCAAGATCCTCTTCTGGGTTGTGGCAGTTGGCTGCTGTTGCTTCTTGGATGGTGATTTAAAATGTTAACACATGACATAATGCTGCCTTGTTCTGCTCCGAGGTCAAAGGTTTTTGGGGTAGAGCTATTTGCACCTAGTATCTTCTGGAATCCTGCCTAAACATTTGTGTATATGTAGGGTTACAGTAGACAGTCTGACAGTTGTCCAGAGAGCGCCATGTGATATGATGATATTCTAAGATATGAATACTATAAATATAATTTGTAGTATGATGACCTTAAACCATTCTGTTAGCTTGCTGTGTAATTTCTATGCTAATTTTCAACAACATAACAGTATTTGAAGATAATGCAGTTTTTTTCCTTAGAATCATTGTCATTATCGGGGCTATGTGGAGGGAGCTCATAATTCATCCATTGCTCTTAGCGACTGTTTTGGACTCAGGTAAGTCCAAAATCACTTTGTTCTTTCCTTTATTTCCTGCCCCTTTACCTATTTCTGTTTCCAAATCAAGTAATTTTGGGGGGACTTAACAAAATTAGATTTTACTTTGACCTTGCTGAAGGTCTTTAGAGCTGTGTTCAGGTATCACTCTTGGCATGTTTAGGAAAATATTACTTGAATGGACTTTAGTACTGAAAGAGAAAATTTCATTTTTTTAGACTGCTTAAATAATTTCTGCTATTTTAAATAAAATATACTTTAAGTTTATATAGTATTTTATATTTATAAAATTATCACCTATATTCTTTCATTTAAATCTCTTATCAGCTATGACAAGAGGCTCATTATCTCCATATTTAGGTGAGCAACCTGAGGCTCAGAGAAATTGTATCATGTAATAATATTAAACTACATTTATCGAGGGCTTGGCAATATGACACTGTGCTGGTTGGTTGTGGCATGATTAATTGAACTAATAAATATTACTTTTAATTCTCAAACCAATTACATAAGATAGCCATGATTATCTCTCCTTAAGTAATAACATTTACAGAACAGTTACTGTGTGCCAGCCAGTGTTCTAAGTATTTTGTGCTTATTAAATAATTGAGTTTTCAGAACAAGCTTATGCAGAATATAAAGTAAGGCAGAGGTTAAAGTAATTGCCGAGAGTCCCACAGCTCGTAGGAAACCTTTGGGATTCAAACTCTGGTTCTCTGGCTCCAAACTCTGCACTTTTAGCCACTTTTCTATATTGCCTTCCTTTAAGCAGTGATGGCTCAGAGAGGTTAAGTAACTTTCAAGGAGTGATGTAGTAAGTAGCAATCCTGAGCTTTAAATTTAGGTCGGCCTGACTCTAAAGCCTTAAGATATTTCTGTATACCATGCTACCCATTTCTTACACTTGTTTCAAACTAGGACTTGAATTCAAGTTTTCTGATTCCATTTCCTGTGTATTTTTTCTTCATTCTTAAAAACTGTGTGTGTGTAATGCCACACCAGAGGATTGCTACATATAGAGAACATGAGTTACGGGATTGAACCTCTGCAAAACAGCTCCCATTTTGAGCACATCTTTTATCGACTGGATGATGTCCACCAAGAGCCTCTGAAATGTGGGGTTTCCAACAAGGAAATAGAGAAAGAAACCATAAAGGATGAAGAGGAAGAAGAGGCTCCTACCATCACTCAGCTTCTTCGAGTAAGGAAATAATATATTTCTTCATGATGCAAACTGAAGTTTTAAAAACTTGTGTATATGTGTGCATTAAACCAATACTTATTATTGCTTTATTTTTGCCAGCGATGTGCCAGGCATTACGATAGGTACTGGAGGTTAAAAAGATGAGCAATATGCATATCCTGCCACCAAGCTGAATAGAGTCAAACTATGTGTTTTATCAATTAGGGCTTAAATCTTACACAGTAATTTTATTTCTTTTTCTCATTGGTACATAATAGTCTATTGCGCTGTCAACAGCTGTAGAATTTTCTGTTTGGATAACTTTTACACAAACTGGAATGCCAATTCTTGAATTCTGGTTTGGGGAAACAGAGAGAGATTGGGCTTTAGGACTTCAGTTATTTCAGATGTCTTCTAGGGACACTAGTCTCCCTGTTTCCAGTCTTCATTAGGATTCCCTTACTCTTGGCAAGACTCTCTGAGACTGAAATGTTTCTGGGACTAGATCAACCTCAGCTGTAGGCAATTCCTTTCTACATAGGGGATGACGTCGCGGTGCAGGAAGAAGCACATGCCTGACCTGGTGTATTTTCATTAACTGGTGCCCGTTTATGTATAGTTCCCTTGCCTCTCCTGTCATCTACTCTTCTGAATATTAAAGTGCTCATTTTCACTTTAATCACTGGAAAGCACTTACATTTTAGCTTATGCTATACATTATGTGAATTCTGTAAAATCACAAAACTAGCCATTTTTTAAAGTGGCAACCTTGTCCTCACTTCTGCTCTGGATCATTAGCGGATATTCTTCCTTCCATGTTCAATGAAGTGATGGGGGTTTCCAATTAAAATGTGTGTGTATATGTGTGTGTGTAGTTTTGCTATTAGAAAATCAGTATTTATGCTCTGGAAACTTTAATAATTTATATTATCTTTAACTAAAATTTTTCTCAGATTAGTATAGATACCAGATACCACTTTTAAAAAAACACTGTATTTTTGGCTTTCTTAACCTAGGTTGTGTTAGGTAAGATAATTTTACAATGTTCTTAGCAGTCATGAAATAAGTGACTAGAGATTAGGGTAAGATCACTACATATGAAAATTGTGTAGCCTGGTGACTTTTTTCCTCGCCTTTATATTTATGTTTTTGACAGAGAAGGAGAGCTGTCTTGCCGCAGACCCGCTATGTGGAGCTGTTCATTGTCGTAGACAAGGAAAGGGTAGGATTGGTGACAGTTTTTCTTCTTTTTCATGCAAAGCAGATGAGAAGTGAGCATCTCATGAAGGAAATGTAAAATATGTTTGTATTGATTTTTCTTAAAAAAATGTAATTTTAAAATGCACATTTTTTTCTTGCTTAAACATACTTAATATGCATTATACCACCAGAAGCTGAAGGTGCCAAATGAGACTAGACTACCTCTACACTGGTTTTTACTGGTGGTGTTTTCACCCCCTGTTCTTTTGGGCGATTTGCTTATGCTGAATTTCTTAGGTGAAATTGTGTTGCATCTAGTACTTGAGACCTTTTCAGGTCACTTTAAAGGACTGTGGTGATAATATCAGTCCATTAGATATTGTTGCCTAGTAGAATTGCTGTGCTTTCTAGAATTTCAGCTAACCTGTATTTCACTTTAAGAGGTAGAAAACTTCCAGGTCCTGGCAGGCTTGAAAGGGACTAGAGCAGAATGATTCATCTTAGCATTTACGGTTAGTTTCATTGTATCAGATAACACCAGGGGTTTTCCTTATTCCTACTTAGGAATTCATGCTTAACTTAGCTGGGAAAAGTAATGGGTGTATTTCATCATTTACAGGATTATTCAGTTTTAAATATAGCTGCCGTATAATTTAACAAAGAGATTCTCTGAATTGTTTTGTCTCTTCTGCCAACTTTGTGAAATAGTTGTTTATAGAAACTTAACATGATGGGCAGTTCCTTTCTGGTAAGCTGCAAGGACAGTTTCAAGGATTTTTACGGTTTAAAAAAAAACACCCTTGTATATAGATAGGGGATAACAAACCATATTTATTAGGAGATAGAAATGTATTCAGATTTGTTCATTATAGGGTCATTACCCTCCACTGGTAAAAGAAAAAGCATGGGGAATATGAACAAGCATGGACTCTGCCCCAGATAGAATGTTTGGACAAGTGACAAAAGTAGAGATTTGAAATATTTTTCTTTATTACTCTCTCCAGATAGATGTTACCTACTGATAGAAAATGGTTCAAAATAAAAATGGTTCCATTTTAATCAAACTTTGTCAAATATATTACATTAAAAAATCTTATTTAGGAGGATCATGATAAAATGCCTACCTGATAAGATATGAAATATTCTGATATCAATGTCCTTATTGTAGAGGAAAACCATACACTCTTTTTAACATTTCTTCTCATTAATTATTAAGTTGGTTGTATTAAAATAATGTTAGACAGTTGTTAATGTAAAACCAATATGGTTAAACTTTTTTTTTAATTGAAATATCGTTGATATACAATCTTATATTGGTTTCAAGTATACAGCACAGTGGCTCAACATACCCATATTATTAAATCCTCACCCCCACTAGTGCAGTTGCTGTCTGTCACCATAAGATGTTAAAGAATCATTGGCTATATTCTCCATGCTGCACTACCATCCCCATAACCAACTCATATTATAATTAAGAATTTTTGTGCCCCTTTATCCCTTTCACCCTCCCTGGCCACTTCCCCAACCCCTGCCTCATGGTAGCCACCAGTTACTTCTCAGGGTCTATGAGTCTACCTATTTTAATATGGTTAAACTTTTAAATGTCTCTGTGTTTTACCTACATATAATGTTTCAACTAGTGAACATTGGTTAATCTGTCCGTGCTAATTTAACCCAGAGATTAATAATGGTTTATTGGTAATGTCTTCAATCTAAGGGGTGGAAGGGTCAGGAAATCTGTTAGATTATCTTTATTTCTTTATCTATGCATTTTGACTGTTTTAAACTCTACCTTTGGGAAGTGCTTTAAGATATTTTTGCATTAGAATAAATAAAAATAACATAAGATTTTAAACACTTTAAAGTTGTACTAATCTAGAAAAAATAAAGATGTCAGTGCTTTTTCATTATTCATTTCACACTTGTTCCTGTTTTTCTTTTATTCCCATTTATCACTAAAATGTATCCTTTAGATTTAATAGTTTAAAATGCAGGTAGAATGTATAAATGCCTCAGTTTTGGGCTCAGAGGGAATATTTGGATTCTTATGTTCATTTAATAGATTATTGAAATGTTTTTCTTTAATTACTTTATTGATAATGATTTGCCTTTTTTGCTTCTCAGTATGACATGATGGGAAGAAATCAGACTGCTGTAAGAGAAGAGATGATCCGTTTAGCAAACTACTTGGATAGTGTAAGGTCTATTTTCCATCAGCTGGGATTATTCTGTTTTATCCTTTCACAGTCTCAGAATTTAAAAATTGTCTCCTTTTGAGCTCAGATTATCCTAGGGTCTAAATGACTAAGTCTTTCAGGGGTCTCCATTCTAGTTTATTCTGTAACGTCTTTTATGGTATAACTGTAGAAAGACTTTGAGACAAGCAAGAGATTTCATATTAGCACCTATTTTATCTTCGAGTAGATAGGCTAAGGTACTTTGAAATTTATGAGAAGGTCTTTGAAGTTTTACTGGGAGAATCTTATTTTGACTAAGGCTGCCTCCTATTTTGAAACCATGATGTGAAAATACTACTGTGAGAGAGAGAGAGAGAGAGAGAGAGATGGATGAATTTGGCTTGAGATTATGAAGTTCAGTCATCCAATGGGAGATACTGAAGAATTAGATACATGTTCTTAGAAGGTAATTTTATCTATAAGGTGTTTCCCTGATATGAATACCAAGCATAAACAAAATGATAATGATGACAGTGATTGAGTTCTACCGAGTACTGATAATGTGCTAGAAACTGGGCCAAGGGCTTTACATTTATTGATTCATTTATTCCTTACTATGAATATATTGCTACGAAAATAGATTTTAGTTCCATAATCCTGTATCTGAAACCTTTGGGGTGCCTATAATTAGGATTTTAGATAAGAGTTCAGAAAGGTAACATAGTGCTCACTGTGTATTATGTAACACCTCCAGTGGGATCTTGGAGCAGCATCTCGTAAACAAACTGACTGGTATTTCTGTAGTAAATGTGTGACTGTTTACATCAAGTGAGATAAACAGGGACTATAAATAGATTTTCATTAGTTTTGGGCAAGACTGGAACTACATTTACCAAAAACTCTAAACTCCCAGGGTTTTTCAGATTTTGGAATGGAAGATAAAAAAGGAATTTGGGCTGTTACTTTTATTTCATGGGTGAGGAAACTGAGACCTTTGAGAGGTTATAGTGTCATTGTATTGAAAGAAATATTTTTACTTGAGTGGAGGAGTCTCATATTTAAGTAGTTGTCTTACTGCACTGTAAGTTAAAGGATGTCTCATATTCTTTAATATATTTGATATACTTTTTTTTCTGTTTTCTTCCTAGATGTATATTATGTTAAATATTCGGATTGTGCTAGTTGGACTAGAGATTTGGACAAATGGAAACCTGATCAACATAATTGGAGGGGCTGGTGATGTGTTGGGGAACTTTGTACAGTGGCGGGAAAAATTTCTTATAACACGTCGGAGACATGACAGTGCACAGCTAGTTCTGTAAGTTATTTTTTTAGATAAAAGGTAATGAAATGGTGAAAAAATTTTTGCCTATTTTTTTTATTAGAATCATATTCTCTTAAGGTTTTTGAGCATTTATTTAATCTTGAAACTGATGTCCTGCAGTTTAAAAAATTTTTTCCCAAATTACTTTCCAGATGATTTCATCCTCTTTTTTTTTTTTTTTAATTTTTCATTTCTTTTGGGATTTCTTCTACTCAGCTGTTGAGTCTTGTGCTTTTCCTCTCATTTTATTATCTTTCATCTCCTTTCTTCTCTTTGTCTTTTTTTCTACTTTCTGACATATTTCCTTAAGTTTATCTTCTAAGCTCTTTATTGTTTTTCATTTCTGCTATTTTATTTTTAATGTATAATAGCTCATTTGTCCTCGATAATACTGTTTTATAATGAACTTATTTCATAGGTAGAGTAGTTTTTCTAATCTGAGATACTACTGGTATGTGTTTTTAAAATTTTCTTCCTTTATGTTAGTATTTTCATGGTACTACAATAAAACATATAAATCACTTCATACAAATACATTCCAAAAACTTAGAGGAAAACTCTCCTTTAAAAATATTTATAACATTTCATCCTTCTTAATAGTTTTCTAGCTGGATAGGCTAGCTTTTTTCAAAAAACAGTTTTAATTTATATGTGTTTTTTTTCTTCCCTCAATGTTGATGATAACAGTTTTCTCTGAGATATTTCCCTTGATTTTATTTTGTTGTCTTTGTTGTGTGAGTTAATTTTAAAGCGAGGCACTGAAAATGCCAAAATGGATTTTTATGGCTTCGTAATCACAAAGGCTTGATCCTGGCCTTTATATTAAGTTTTAGTAAAATTGCACCTGCAAGTATGTTCATACTGGTGAGCATGCCATCCAGTTCACAAAAGACCAGCAGGAACAGGCATTACTCTTTGCTCAGCCACGCCTACCTGTCATGTCAGAGGCATTCCCCACATGTCTGCTGATCCCTGGTTGGTTGGTTGTGGCTAGGAATGGGGCACTAAAAAGCCTTTTGGAGGCATCGAATACATGATTGGGACTTGGGGACTATGGGGCTCACTGTAGGGTGATCTGATTGCAATGTTCCCTTGGCATTCCCCTGTGTCCATGTTTCTACTGGCTGGTCCTATGCCCTAGAGAAGGGTTTATTCATTCATTTATGGGATATGTATTAGGTGTGTGCCCTATGCACTGAGGTATAACAGCGAACAAAACAGACAAAAGTTCTTGCCCTGATGGAGTCCATGGTCTGGTGGAGGAGACTGGCCATCAATATACAGTTGGTCCTTGAACAACCTGAGGGTTAAGGGTGCCAACCCCTGTATGGTCAAAAATCTGCATATAACTCTTGACTCCACCAAACCTAACAACTACCAGCCTGCTGTTGACTGGAAGACTTACTGGCAACATAAGCCATTGATTAGCACATGTTTTATATGTTATTTATATTATACATGTATTCTTCTTAAAATTTTTTTTATTAAGGTATCATTGGTATACAATCTTATGCTCAGGTTTCACATGAGCAATATTGTGGTTACTACATTTCCCCTATTATCAAGTGTCCACCACATACCCCATTACAGTCACTGTCCATCAGCATAGTAAGATACTATAGGGTCACTACTTGTATTCTCTGTGCTATACTACCTTTCCCATGCCCCCCCATATTATGTGTGCTAATCATATGCCCCTTAATCCCCTTATCCCTCTCTTCCCACCCACCCTCCCCAGTCCCTTACCCTTTGGTAACTGTTAGTCCATTCTTGGGTTCTGTGAGTCTGCTGCTGTTTTGTTCCTTCAGTTTTTGCTTTGTTGTTATGCTCCACAGATGAGTGAAATCATTTGGTACTTGTCTTTCTCTGCCAGGCTTCTTTCACTAAGCATGATACCCTCTAGCTCCATCCATGTTGCTGCAAATGGTAGGATGTTTTCTTCTTATGGCTGAATAATATTCCCTTATGTATATGTACCACATCTTCTTTATCCATTCATCTACTGATGGACACTTAGGTTGCGTCCATTTCTTGGCTATTGTAAATAGTGCTGTGATAAACATAGGGGTGCATTAACATCTTTTTTGAATCTGAGATCCTGTTTTCTTAAGGTAAATTCCTAGGAGTGGTATTCCTGGGTCAAATGGTATTTCTATTTTTAGCTTTTAGAGGAACCTCCATACTGCTTCCCACAATGGTTGAAATAATTTACATTCCTACCAGCAGTGTAGGAAGGTTCCCATTTATCCACATCCTCACCAGCATTTATTGTTTTGTCTTTTGGATATTGGCTTTCCTAACTGGTGTGAGGTGATATCTCATTGTGGTTTTAATTTGCATTCCTCTGATGATTAACGATGTGGAGCAACTTTTCATGTCCCTGTTGGCACCTGAATTTCTTCTTTGTAGAACTGTCTCTTCAGATCCTTTGCCCATTTTTTGATTGGGTTATTTGCTTTTTGGTTGTTGAGGCATGTGAGCTCTTTATATATTTTGGATGTTAATCCCTTATGGGATATGTCATTTACGAATATATTCTCCCATACTGTAGGATGCCTTTTTGTTCTACTGATGATGTCCCTTGCTGTACAGAAGCTTTTTAGTTTGATGTAGTCCGACATGTTCATTTTTGCTTTTGTTTCCCTTGCCCAAGGAGATATGTTTGTGAAAAAGTTGCTCATGTTTATATTCAAGAGAGTTTTGTCTATGTTTTCTTCTCAGAGTTTTATGGTTTTATGACTTACATTCAGGTCTTTGATCCATTGCGAGTTTACTTTTGTGTTTGGGGTTAGACAATGATCCAGTTTCATTCTCTTACATGTAGCTGTCCAGTTTTGCCAACACCAGCTGTTGAAGAGGCTATCATTTCCTCACTGTATGTCCAGGCTCCTGTATCATATATATTAATTGGCCATATATGTGTGGGTTCATATCTGGGCTGTATTCTGTTCCATTGGTCTATAGGTCTATTCTTGTGCCAGTACCAAATTGTCTTGATTACTGTGGCTTTATAGTAGAGCTTGAAGTTGGGGATCATAATACCCCACTTTATTCTTTCTTCTCAGAATTGCTTTGGCTATTTGGGGTCTTTTGTGGTTCCATATTAATTTTAGAACTATTTGCTCTAGTTTGTTGAAGAATGCTATTGGTATTTTGATACATTGAATCTGTAGATTGCTTTAGGCAAGATGGCTATTTTGACAATATTCTTCCTACCCAAGAGCATGGGATGTATTTCCATTTATTAGTGTCCTCCTTAATTTCTCTCTAGAGTGTCTTGTAGTTTTCAGGGTATTTCACTTCCTTGGTTTAGGTTTATTCCTAGGTATTTTATTATTTTTGGTGCAATTGTGAATGGAATTTTTTTCCTGACTTGTCTTTCTGCTAGTTCATTGTTAGTGTATAGGAATGCAACAGATTTCTTTGTATTAATTTTGTGTCCTGCAACTTTGCTGAATTCAGATATTAGTTCTAGTAGTTTTGGAGTGGATTCTTTAGGGATTTTTATATACAATATCATGTTATCTGCAAACAGTGACAGTTTAACTTCTTCCTTACCAATCTGGATGCCTTTTATTTCTTTGTGTTGTCTGATTGCCGTGGCTAGGACCTCCAGAACTATGTTGAATAAAAGTGGGGAGAGTGGGCATCCCTGTCTTGTTTCTGATCTTAGAGGAAAAGCTTTCAGCTTCTTGCTGTTCAATATGATGTTGGCTGTGAGTTTGTCGTATATGGCCTTTATATATACGTATTCTTGTAATAAGGTAATTCAGAGAAAGGAAAAAGTGTCTTTCAAGTGGTCACAAATCTCCACAAAATTTTCTAATATATTTATTGAAAAAAATTCATGTATAAATGGTCCTGTACTGTTCAAACCTGTGTTGTTAAAGGGCCAAGTGTATATATAACATGAAATACTGGTAAATCGGAAGGAGGAAAAATAATGCTGGGTGGGGTGGGGGTAGTTGTGAAAGTATTGATGGGCTGAGGGTGATATTTCAAGGGGAGGTCCTAATGGGAAGATGCCTTTTGAGTAAAGACCTGAAGGAGCTGAGGGAGTGAGTTAGGGGTATGTACTGGGGAGGGGAGTTCAAGGTGGAGGAATCAGGTGTCAGGATCCAGTTGTGTCAGAATCGTGGAGGAACTTCAGTGGAGGCCTTAATGTGCGCCCTGTGTGCATATGCTCATTGAGTTTGTTGTCTGTTTCTTCTTACTAGGCTTTTTGAATAAATAAATGTAATGCATTTTAGGAAGATTTTTCCATCCAGAGGTAGAAAAAAATGGTTTGGTATCTAAAACATACCTTCATCTATCTGCAAAACAAATTTATAATATTCAGTCTCATTCTCTGGTGATAAAAAAGAGGTAAGGCTTAATTGTATTCCGATTTTAAAATGTTATTTACCTTTGCCATTTTCCTCCCAGGTTTTGTGGGTTCTACCAGTGCAGTGTAAGATTACCTCAGGAAATAAGGAGCAATGTATTCCTTTGTCCCTGCAAGTGGATTTTCTAACTTTTACCTTTTCTTCTCATTTAGGAAGAAGGGTTTTGGTGGTACTGCGGGGATGGCATTCGTGGGAACGGTGTGCTCGAGAAGCCATGCTGGCGGGATTAATGTGGTACTTTTCTATTATTAAAGTTCAACTTCGGTCATCTGCATTAGGACAGTGTCGAGCATATTGACTGTACACTTCAGTCCCTGGTCCTTAAACTAATATTTGGGTTTCATGAGGGACATGGTAGAAGTGGCAGATGTGTTCTTTCCCTAAAGATGGGATTAAATTTTCTAGTATTTATATGTCATTTATATTAATATATGTAATTTATGTAACATTATATACAGTATTTATGCATTATACTTGCATAAACATATAAATGTGTATTTACATTTACATTTTCTAATATATATGAGTTTGTTATCTCCTCACTTTTTACGGGTGTGGAAATGGAAATTTCATGAAGAAAAATTAAGTTAGAACTGTGAATTTGTTTTCCCATAAACCACTACGAATAATCTCTTGGTGCTAAAGTAATTGATCTGCTGCTTAAACGGTGTGTCCCCACCATCAGTATGTTGAGTCACGCCAGTTTCTTACTAGAGTGAAATCTGTAAACACTGATGTTGGATGCCTGATTTATAATATAGACTGTCAACATCACAGTGATAAATTTCCTTTTATGAAAAGATAATCTGAGAAACAAAACATATCGCTTTTGCACAGAAACCTAAATAATACCTTCCTGTGTTTGGACAGTTTGGGCAGATCACAGTGGAGACGTTTGCATCCATCGTGGCTCATGAGTTGGGTCATAACCTTGGAATGAATCATGATGATGGGAGAGATTGTTTATGTGAAGCAAAGAGCTGCATTATGAATTCAGGAGCCTCGTGAGTAACTGAATTCTTTTCTCTTCTTAATATATAGAACAAGGTTCTTAAACTGTGTGATATAGTCATGTCTGTGTTGAAAAAACTATTTCTGGCTCCCCTGAAATTAATTACCCATAACAACGATGGGAAGTCTACTTTTAAATTAAATAAATAATCCCAGAGAGCTTTAAAAAAGAAACTTTTATGTCAGCACAGTTATGTAGTTATAGTCTTTGGTAAACCAGCTGGAGAACAAAAGAGTATGAGAACATGGAAAAATTTATATCTGAATTAGAAATCAGGAAAGGATTTCTGTTAGATTCAGTGCAGGGTGGACTGTATTGTTAGAACCATGGGAAACCTCACTCACAAATCCCTTCCTGAGAAATTGCTGCCCTGTCACGGTAACTAGGAAGAAATCCTGACATAGTCCTACTAATGTCCCCAATTTTAGAGGTGAAAGTGGGAGGCAGGACAGTGGAGAAAGAGTTTACATCTATTGAACTCTTTTTATATATCAGGCCTTGTTCTAAGCACTTAACAGGTATTAATCACTCAATGCTCAGCAACCTAATGAGATGTAGGTACTTTGTTATCTCTATTTATGGATGAGGAAACTGAGGTCACCCATCTAAGTGAGTGGTAAAGCAGAAGTTTGAAGTCAGGAAGAAAGGGTCCAGAGCCAGTGATCTAAGAACCCTTTCCTAAGCCAAGGTCAAATAATTACAGTAGAGGGTCAGTCATTTCACATAAGGGTGAATAAAAACCATTGAGTTTTTGGGCTTTTTTTGATGTAGGTTTATCATATGGCAATGAGGTCCCCTCCTAATTTAGTAGATGGTACTGCTAAGCAGAGAGCAGGGCATATAAGCAGAAGCCGAGCCAGAGAAAATGTTAGATATGAAAAAGCCTCACCTTTTACAACCACAGTTGGAGATTTCATATGGTGAATATCAATGGCCCCAAGTTCTCACGCCCTTACCTACCTACAGTAAGCTCCCAGAGCACTGAACAAACAATAAAAACTTCTGTTAGCTGGCCCCTTATCTTTAGTTCCAAGACCACAATTCTGATCATATCCCAATGTAAAGGGAAACAAACACTCAAGCAGAATGTATCTGTTTTTGAGCAGAAACTAGGCTGAAAAATAGATACGGAAGAATTAGAATAGTGCTTATGAAAAAACTATACTTAATTTAGAAGGTAACTATATTTACAGTAAAGTCATATGTTTGCAAGAGATTTCCTGTAGGAAGAGGAAGTAAATTTAGTGTTTGGTCCGGCTGACGGTGAAGTTGAGGAGTACATGAGCTCGGGGAATAAGAAATGAGTAATCAGCAATGAGATTAGATAGTAGACTAAGGTGAAAACAGGAGCAGTCAGAGAATGCCATGTCATGGAACAGCACAAAGCACAGTCATGGAATTCAAGGGGTGTAAGAAGCAGTGAAGAGCAGACCCGTAGTGTATTCATTCACTCATCAAATATTTTACCGAGTACAGCTATGTGCCAGACCGCATAGTAGTCTTGGACTATTTTGGAATACCTCAGCGAATTAGATGAAGACTCGTCCCTTAAGGAGTTTATGTTTTAATGGGGCAAGACAAGCTGTTAACATAATACACACATCAGTAATATAGAACATTAGTAGGTGATAAGTGCTCTGGAAAATGAAATAGAGCAGGACTGGGAGATTGGAAGGGCCGGGGTGGTGTGACTGTGGTGGGGGTAGTGGTGGCCGAGGTCCGTTTGTCATTTAAACTTGTGAGGGTCAGTTTCTTTGAGATGACATTAGACCACATACTTGAAGGAGGTGAGTGGAAGGCTGGCTGTGTGAGTATCCTAAAGGAAGTACTGTTAGGATAGATTTTCTTCCTCAAGGTGGAAGAAATTACAGCACTTTGTATGCTACTGGACTGATTTAGTAGAGGTGGAAAATTGATGATCCAGAACAGAGAGGGGACCCTCCCTTTGGTCATCCCTGAGTGGGTGGGAGGGTCCAGGGTTGGGGCATGGCTTGGGGTTTGTAGGGTATCTATAATGGAAGTAATGGATGTAGCTGCTGGTGGGTGGACAAATGTGGTGGGAGCTGGGGTTTTGTCAGTGAGGTAGGTTCACCAGCTGAAAGACAGGTTAGGGGAGGGGCCCTGGGGCTCCAGGAAATAGGAGAAGGTAGGAAATAGTCGCATAGTTGAAAGGGAGAGTAAAGGAGAGCAGTGTGCTTACTGGGCAGCTTCTAAGGGCCCCTTGAGGCTCACAGTCTGACTTAGTGTGGTTGTGTGTTTTTGTGCAGACACATTCAGCTGCACAGGCACATAGAGAGGTGAGTGAACTAGGCTGTGGTCAGGCCGATGACAGTGAAGTGAGAGGAGCAGGGAGGGCCGACCTGTACGCAGGGAGTCATTACAAGGGACCATGGCATTGAGCCGGGCAGGCCGAGGCAAGAGGACCGTGAGGAGCTGGGGGAAGTGCAGGGAGGACATCAGCGGGTCGGCTTCCCTGGGGCTGGGGGTTAAAGGGATGTTGGACTATACAGGTATTCTGGAGCGAGAGTGGAATGCATAAAGCTGAGATTATACATTAGAGTCACTGGTAATGGTAAGGCGTCCACTAAAACCACGGTAATGGGTGGTTGACATGGTTGAAGACCAGATCAGTGGGGGAGAGAAGTATTGCCACTTGGAGCCCAAGGGATTGATACAATTATTGACTGTACACCTGACCCTGAACAACACAGGTTTGCACTGTACTTATGTTGGGCTTTTTTCAATAAATATATTGGAAAAATGTTTGGAAGTTTGTAACAATTTGAAAAAACATTTTCTTTTCTCTAGCTGACTTTCTTGTAAGAATACAGTGTGTAATATCTAAAACATACAAAAATGTGTGTTAATTGACTGTGTTATTGCTCAATGGTTGGATATTAGTAGTTAAGTTTTTGGGGATTCAGTAGTTATACATGAATTTTCGGGGGGTCGGCACCCCCAATCCCTCATCGTTCAAAGGTCAACTGTATATTGAAATCAGCAGAAATGGAGTCAAGGATAGTGTTGGTGTGACAGTGTTAGCAAGAAAGACATGGGCGGGGGGCAAAGTGGGGGTTAGTGACATTCGTGACAAAGATAGTGGGCAATATCATTTTATGAGATCCAGAACTGGGAGATTTTAGGAAGGAGGGAGAGAGAACAGCTTAGAAGCAGCAGCCTGGAGGAAGAACACTGATTCCACATCTAGCTGTAGGAGGGGAAAAAACTGCTGACATTTGAGGTGGTTCTAGTGGCATCTGTGGAACTGGGGAAGAGCTGAGTGTAAAGTGGGCGTGAAGGTGAAGGATGGTAGGACATACTGGATTTTTTTGCTGAGAGGAGTTGGAACATATTGGATATTTTTTGCTGATGTGAATTCCAGAGCACATAGCAAAAGAACAGGATACTAATAAAGCATTATGAGTATAAGAGGAGACAGGGGTCTGCATGGGGAGCTGCTGCAGCTTCTTATGGTGATTGGTGTAAACAAGAATAAAGGGGGGATGAGATTTGTCCGGGTGGACTAAAGGCGGAGGCTAGTGAGCCCCGTCCATGGGATGGAAGGGACGAAGTGTTTGGGATTTCGCTTTGACCTCTGCCATTCTAGGGGGTGTGAATTTATTATCTCAGTCCTTGTACAGGAGCTCATTTAGGCCCTGGTTGAGTGGTTCCTCCTTGATGCCTGTCCAAAAGATTTGCAAGTCAATCTTGATAAGCTTTCTTAGGTTGTAGGGGGAAAGGGCACAGAGAGTAAAAGTTAGATGTGCTAGATTTTGAGAACACGGTGGGAAGAATAACTTATGGGCCGTTGGACTCACTGGAGGAGTATCCAGAACAAATGGAACTTGAGAGAAAATAGACATTCAAAAAAAATTAAGAATAACCTAGTAGGAGAGGTTATAAGATCACTGAAAATGGAGAAATATATGTGTAATTATATGTTAAATTGTCATAATAATAATCTCTGGGTGGAATTGAAAACGGGGTGCACATTTCTAATTCAGAAGGACAAAAAATTATAGAAAATGTATTCTATATAGAAAAATAAAACAAAAGAATATATTATTAGAGGGTTACAAAACAAAGTGTAAGTTAAAATAATTTAAGGCCAAATACAACAGTATGACAAATATATATGGTATGCCTCTTAGAGGAAATTTTAAAACATCTTTCTTAATCATGAACAGATTATATAAACAAAACACATACAAGATTATAGATGTTTAAATAAATATTAGTATATTTGTTTAATAGATAAAAATATAACTCCATGCCACAAACAGAATATAAATCTTCATTTCAGGTGTCCAGGAATCTCAACAAAAATTGACCATGTATTTTGCCAAAAGAAGATTATGTAATTTCCAAAAAAGCAAAAACAGAATAGGACTCTCTTTGACTACAGTGTGGTAAAACTAGATATTAGTATCAAGAGCCCCTAAATGAATCAGTAATTTAAAAACACTCTCCAAGTAAATCTTGTATCAAAGAAGAGACCTGAAGTCTAAAATAATTATAAACTATTTTGAGGATAGTGGTATTGTGAATATTACACTTAAAACTAACTGCATACTAAAACTTCAGCATGAATATAAGAGCGTCTCAAATATAAGATTATCTGCCATTTTCCCCGTGAAAAGAACCAAAAGTTCTTGGGGGTTAACTCAAGTATATAAACTTGTAGGGATGTAGAAGATGTAAGGGAAGAGAACGGTTCCTGGCTGCTGGAGAGAATGACTATAGCTGTAGGAGAAACTGACCCCAGAGGAGTTGTAGAGGGAAACTGCCAACATGAGGTGACCCAACAGAGGGATCCGGAGGAATTAATCGACTTGATTCTCCTACCGACTTCTTGTCTCTGCCCCTCCATCTTATTGGCCATGTTCAATTGGATGCAGTCGATATAGGTCAACCTCCTAAGCATAGGATGCACTGGAGAGGGGTGGGATAAGATTGGAGGGGAAATCATAAAATATTGGGCATATATGGTAG